GCGGTGGTTACATTCTTAATCTTTAGAGGACGGGGATTTAGAATTTTTGACTGCTTAGTATTTTCTATAGAAAACGCATAACATATGCGTCTAATATTGGAGAATACTCATATGTAAAGTGACGATCGATGGTCAAGGCACTATAATGGCTTTCCTATCTTCAGGGGTGATGCTAATTTTGATACTTTGTAAAATTGTTTTATTTGACATAGGGAGTTAGTACTTTCGAGTGGTTTATGATTTTTTCGTTATTTCAACCTTGGAATTCGATTCAGCATTGAAAAATACATGAGAAAACTATATTCACACTCCCTTACTATAGAAAGTTTATAAAGGTTAACATTCTTATTTAAAAGCAGATTTTAAATTACACAAAATAACATACGTATATAACCGGTTCATTCGTGTCATTTAGAAGGTTACGATTATAATTTCGCGTAAAGTTCTTGAATATATTTCGTTGTTATTACTGCGTTAATAAGACGCTAATTTCAACATTAGGAGCGTTTTTAAGCTTAAGAACATCGTTTTATATATATACGAGGTGTGATCAAAAAGTAAGGTGAATTTTTATTTTTCTCAAAAAATATTTATTTATTCATCAATTTTTATTTTATCTCCTTCAAAGTAATCCCCCTCGGATATAATGCACTTGTGCCAATGCTTTTTCCAATCCTCAAAGCATTTCAAAAAATCATTTTTTGTGATCTTGTTTAGTTCATCCTTCGATGCCGTCTTTATCTCCTCAATCGTGGCAAAACGTCGTCCTTTCATGGGCCTTTTCAGTTTTGGGAACAAGAAGAAGTCACAGGGGGCCAGATCTGGGGAATACGGTGCCTGTGACATCGTTACTGTGTTTGTTTTAGCCAAAAATCGCGCACAAGCAACGATGTGTGAGCAGGGGCGTTATCATGGTACAAAAGCCAATTTTTATTTTTCCACAAATTCGGACGTTTCTGGCGGATTGCTTCGTACAAATTGCGCATAACTTGCAGGTAATATTCCTTATTTACTGTTCTATCCTGTGGCAAGAACTCATGATGCACCACGCCCCTGCAGTCAAAGAAAACTGTAAGCAAAACCTTTACATTTGATCGAACTTGGCGTGCTTTTTTTGGTCTTGGTGATCCAGAATGCCTCCACTGGGACGATTGAGTCTTTTTCTCGACGTCATAACCGTATACCCATGTTTCGTCACCTGTTATAACCCTGTTGAGTAAATCTGGATCATCGTTGACGTCATTCAGTAGCTCTTGGGCGATGCTCATGCGACGTTTCTTTTGGTCGAAATTGAGCAATTTCGGAACAAACTTCGCTGACACACGTCTCATGTCTAAAACACTCGTCAAAATTGATTGGCACGAACCAAATGAGATGCCAATATCATCAGCAATTTCTCTAATGGTAATTCGACGATTTCCCAAAACTATTTTCTTCACTTCTTCAACATTCTCATCAGTTGTTGATGTGCTGGGGCGTCCAGAACGAGGTTCGTCGTCGGTGTCTTCTCGGCCTTCTTGGAAAAGTTTATACCACTTGTAAACATTTTTTTGGCTTAAAGTAGACTCACCGTATGCCACTTTCAGCATTTCAATTGTTTTGGAACATTTGATTCCATTTTTCACACAAAATTTAATGCAAACTCTTTGATCCATGTTTTTAGACAACAGCAAATCATGGAGCACGCAAAACACTTCTAACCTTGATGCCTCTCACAAACAAACCAAACATACTACAAAGCTGAAATTTGGAACGTATGTTCTAGACGAGTGTACCGACATAACCAAATAAAAAAGTCGAAGATCGAACGGACGTAGCCCGCTAAATTTCAAAATTCACCTTACTTTTTGATCACACCTCGTATGTCATATCGAAATTCATTTTATTTCATGAACATTAGAATCGCTTTGTAAACACCCTAACAAATCGACGTCTGTTTTTGCGAAACAGACCTAACGAACCTTCCTCAAACGGACCCATGAATGATTAAAAGAGAAATAACTAATTGTTACTGTTCTGCAATAAATGTAAGTACAATTTGATTTGTTATCAATATAATCTCGCTATAAATACTATTTGAAAAAAAATTAAGTCTGTATTATGACGAGCTAGGTTGGGTTTGTATCTAAACATGACACGAAGGGTTATGTTTACAGTTAAGAATATTGATAAAAAATTTTTTTATTCGATGAAGAGTACTAAAATTAATTATTTTTATTGTAATTATAAGCATGATAATATTTCTGTACTTTTTTTTGAGAGAAAAATAGAATTGTATTAGTTTTGTAGGTATAGAAACCTATGATCATGGCTGGAAAGGTATATGTCCTTTTTTTCTCTAATTTAATGATATTTGAAAGAAAAAATTTATTCTTGTTATTCAAACATGACAAAAATATTGTGATAGCTTTATTATTCAGAGAAGATTTGTCATAGAAGTATCGGCCGCTAGCAAATAAATCAGATGATACCTGTCAAATTATTTATGATACTTTTGAGAACATGCGAACTATTATACAATTTGTAATTGTAATTATCACTATAATAACTTTGAACTAGACTAGTCTGATTCGCTTATCTGTCAAAGAATTCTTTACATTCTGTGTAATTTCAAAGTTAGTTTCATGATTCTTATTATATTTGAAAAAGTAAGGTTCACTCGTCTAAATAGACTTTCAAGGGCATATTAAATTTAACAGTTTTCACGAGTTTCATTTAATATTATCATCATTTAATATTATATTTCATTTAATATTCTTTAGCAAAGATCACTTTCAAAAACATCAACTGGTATGTTTATTTGAACATAGATTTAAGGAACTTTCTCAAGTTACGGCACCAACTTATATATAGGAAAATAGCAAATAAACATCCAAGCTGGTGCCGTAATAGCATTTAAGAAGCACATGCTAAATAGTTTCAAAATTATTATTCCTATATGTGGCTTGTTTTTATTTTCTGATAAATGTCTTGAATGCAGAGATCTTTTGATTAAAGTCTGTTCATGCTGTCAATTGAGAAGGAATATAAAGTATCGTCCAATAGGTTTTTTCGTCTTTTTCTGCAGTATATTAAGTACAGCAGGTTAATTTGTATTACTCTTCCTACCTGATTACAAATCTTAATATAGTGAGTATGATTTTGTCATGATTATAAATCTTGAGTAACGACGAAACTTTATATAGGTATATTTGAAAACTATTTTAGTTAACCGTGAATCAAATTATTAGAATAATTGTCTGAAAATTTAAAATATTATTTTGGTAAAAGATTTAAGACTTATGTGTAGTATCGCTTAAATATCTTATATATATATACACATATATATATATATATACATAGGTGAGGGGTCAAAGAATACTTATATGGCCAAACTACGTCTTAGACACTATATAGTAAAGATAGCCAAAATTTAATTTGAATTTCTTGAAGGAAGGAATTTAACCGTTGCTGACCATCAATATATGGTAAAACTATTAATGGTAATTTGTCTCGTAATTTACTACCATCGTTTGCACCTGAGTTAGTAGTATTTTGGAAATTATTTAATCTACTTTTAATAATTTTACGTAAGAAAGTCGATCATATGATTGATTTGATAACGAACAAATTGTTGAAATTGAAAATAAGTGATTTTTACTCAAAATGAAATGAACTAAGAAAAAACTGAAATTTTTCTTAATATTAATAAGCTTATAAATAAAAAGATTGCTAAAAAGGTTACTATATTCTATTCATCCACTTTTACTATATTAAAATAGCAACGGCCGCCGATTATTATTGACGCATTCACGATTCGGCAGTACTATATGTGCGAGAGCGAGTGATTAGGAGTGAGAGGGCGCGTGCGAGGGTTTAAAGTAGGTAAGAGCGTGTGGAACAGTAACGTCTGAGCCGGGATCAAGTGGAGAAGTTTTTCCGAGTAGTGCGCACTGTACGATCTTGATAAGGAATAGATCCGACACACACAAGGTGACGCAGTGAATGAGGCAGCGGAAGAAGAAGTATCCTATTGCGGAGGCTCCGGTTGGTACTTAATTATCTGCGACAACTGCAGAGAAGGCCTCCTCAAGGACAGCTGTCGCAGCGGATGGAAAGAGCACCTGGCCAAAATCGTCGACGAGTTAGGTTACAGCTAATCGCTGTAACCGCTACGTAGAATAGGTGCATCTTTGTTTTGTCGCATTATCGATAAGACGGACCGTTCAACTCGTATTCGCTGTATGTGCCCATCAAAGTTTAATGCATTCGAGCCGAGCGTTTAGTCCACGCATTGTTTACTTTTTCTCTCTCTCTCTCCCTAAACGATTTGTAATCCCGTATGCGAGCGTCAGTCTCTCGGCCAAAATTGAGTGTATCGTTTAATTGTATTAAAAGTATTTAGTGATATCTCGCTGCTCTACGTTCTTTTGTTCCCTATGACATCAACAATCAATAATCCCGGAAATATTTAAATGAATTTGGCCTAGGGGATTATAGGAGGTAAATATTAACCACCATCATCGATCAGGTGACTTAAGGTGAGTTCACCCATATACGTAGTTAACAGGGCGGCGGTTTGCGTTGTATCGAGAGACTTTGTGTACATATGCGCTCCCTATGCACTCGATAATCCCCCCTGTTACAGTACGTATATATCAAACACTATATTCTATTGTAGACTATAAAGTTCGTATAAGTTTTCTTGTTTCAATGCCAGCTTTCTACGAGTGTCATTGCGTTAATATCATTCGTTAATTGTCTTCTGCTTAAAAAAGGTTGAGAATTTTATATTAACACAACTGAAATGCTACATTTTTATTAAAAAAAGAATGTTTTGACGCTTTTTATTTATGTATTACTCATATTTATTACTAAAATTTTTTTAAATAAAGGATATTAAGCTGTTTTTATGTTGTAAAAATAAAAATGTATTAAAAGTTATAAATAAAAAAAATTAAAAATGGAGACAGTTTATTTATTAATTTTGTTTCTATTAATATTTTATAAATATATTATAGGCGTATATACTGGATGGAGGAGTTGTACCGAAGCACCTTTACAAAGTCGACGTAGATGGTCAGTCTACAGAACATGAACATAATTTGTACCATTCAATCAATCTTAGTCGATATCAAGTTCATAATGTTGCTATATATTGCAATGATCCAGGGTCTGTTCTTACGTGGGATTTTGATGTGATGCGTCATAATATTACATTTAATGTACTTTTTAAAGGCAGGCTCACCAATACTAATAACTTAGGTAATATTTTTTGTTTATATTTTATATATATATACATATTTATATTCATCATTTATATATTGTTTTATACATTTTATAGTAGTTCCAAAGTCGAGCACTATTATTGAAGATGATATACCGACGCATAAAGAATGGAAGGTTGGAATAAATTGTACTAAACTAAATACCAGTATTATCTGTCATGACGGGGAAAGTATTCAGGTGGTTATTTAATTATCTAAATTATGCTTATCTTGGTTCATGCGTAGAATGATTTTGAATCAATCATTAAAGTAATTATTGATCTGAGGTATTACTAGTACGGATTTATCTTACGCTACATTTTCAAATAATTGACCTTAATAAGTACAGAAGTAGTTAATTTTTTTTACGCTTTATACGACCATGAAAGTTTAATTTTTTTGATAGACGTTCCTAAAAAAATAAAAAATAAAAAAGTAAAAAATATTAAGATATACTATCTTAATATATATTATGTTATGTTATTTATATAATATATATTTATTATAAAATATATTATATTATATATATATATATTACATATATATTATAATTAAATTATATCTTAATATATCTTAATATAATATACTACTAAATATCTTAATATTTTTTACTTAAGTGATGTATTATGGTTCATGGTCACAAACCCATAGCCAAGTACATCTCTTGGGAGTATCGAATACTACATAAAAAAGTAATCGGAGGTCTTAACCTTTTCAGGTTGAGTCACACTGTTTTATTTTGCACTTTTAGCTTGAGTGGTTCATTGTTGGGGTCTCAGAGCCCAAGATTTGTTTCTGAGAACGTATGCTTCTGAATCTTTTTATAACCAAAACTCCAGTAGGCATGATAATTTGATTTAATTCATGATCATCTATAGTTTTTAAGCTTGAATCAATTTCCAAAAGTGATTTTTTACATCACATTTTATTTTTTAAAACGTTTAAGTGTTACGATCTCGACATGCAGGAGATTAGGACTATTGTTAAGCAAAATTTCAATTTTTTCTTAGTTCCCTATATAACTCATACCTATCTATATACGGGATGCTTGAAAAATATACAGAAACTTTGGTATCGTTGAATTCGATTACAAAAAACATATAAAATGCAATGAAAATATTTACCATATTCATTCTGCATACCTATGAAAGCTGATCTATCTATATTTGACATCCAGCCTTTGACCACTGAGGTGTGTAGATGTGCCAACACTGCATTCTACCTGAAAAGTTAGTGTATTAGCCAATCAGTGAAGTGACAATTAAATTCAAAATTTAATTTAATAAACTCCAAAAAAAGAAAACAACAGTCGAAATGACCACTCAGTCAGAAGATAACAAGACCACTCTTAATAAAAACAATGAAAATTGGATAATCGTAAGCGGTAAAAGACAATGAAACAGCCCAGAAAATCAAACCCAAAAAAAAATGACAAGCATAATTATCGGATTACTGGTTAAGTAACACAAGAGACAGATACGAAATAATTCAAAAAAATAAATAAATAAAGAAAATCATAGTGAAGAAGAAAACAACGTAGCCAATAAGTTGAAAAGCAAATCCTTTCCGATCTTAGAAAAAATATTTGTCATTTATTATTGCATTAAAAGAATGAAACACGAAATTTTATATTTACCAGCGCAAAGAAGAAGAAGGTTTCAAAGTTATACAAAGGAGTATAAACCCGTCAATTGATAAGGATGAATTAAAAATAGCTATAGAAGAACATAATATATTATAACGACTAAGAATGTTGACTCGTTATGTCTCTCTTTCCCTATTAGTTAATTACTTTTCTATGTATTAATATTATTATGTTGCATTTGAGATTATACCTTATTGAATAACATTCACAGCTGTATGAGGATCAATTAATTATTGTTCACGATTACTAGCGCAAGGTAAGTGAGAGTAGGAAGAGAGAGAGAGGCACAAATGCGACAGAATCCTAACACCCGTGAGTTAGACTGCGAGAGAGATACACATGCACGCGACGCGGGCTTGTTATGGTGCACGCTGATTCGTTGACGCAGACGCGCAAGTGGAGAGTTAGTGGGGCCCGCGAGTTGAGTAACTTGCAAGGAAAGATACCTAACCCGAACTCACCGATTCTGATGATTTAGATACATATTGTAGAACATAAAAAATAAGAGACACGTATTTTTTTTTATTGGCTAATTTTCACTTTTAAGGGGTAAAAACCTCCCCTAAAGTTAACCCCCAATAAGCGTTTTTCTTTTAATATCTCGGCTTAAATTTAATATTTTTCAGTGAAACAAATCGGAGGTTATTTCTTACAAAAGGAACAAGTATTTCATGATGATTTGTAGAGTAAGGGTAGCATCCCCTATTTTTTAGGGGTTGAAAACATATATTTTTTGGCATAATTTTATAATAAAAAAGTTTAAACCGTTAATTTTAAATAAAGTTGAAGACTAAAAAAAATTGGAAAAAACGTTTAAACATCGAGAATAACAACATTTATTAACGTCTTTCAGTTTTTTAATAAATATTACCCCTAAGGGGGGTAAACCACCCCAAACACAAAATAACTGTAAATATGTAATTCAATACATAATAATTCGTAGAAAGTTTGTATATAGAGGTTTTCGAGGTCGCTGATTACAAATCTGTTATCAGATTTTGAAAATTTATGGTGGACAGAAATATCGAAAAAAAATTTTATATAATAAAAAACTTTTAAATGACTAAAAAAATTGGAAAAAATGTGTAAACATTTATGATAAACAAATTAAGTTTTTCGGTTTTTTTCATAGATACTACCCCTAAGGGGGGGGGGGGGGGTAAACCACCCCTAACACAAAATAACTATAAGTATACTTCAATCCATAAGATTTTGTAGGTTTGTATATAGGGGTTTTCAAGATCGCTCTTTACAAATCTGATATTAGATTTTGAAAATTTAAAATGGCGGAACCAATGTGGTGGACGATAATATCGAAAAAAAATTTTAACTTGTTTACAAATGTGTGATTTTTGTAGCCTGTACATGTGAGCTAAAGAACCTTAAACCCTAAACCCCTAAACAACATATAGGCTAGATGTCTGTGCTTTTTAATCAAACCACCTCAAATAAATTTATAAACAAACAAATTCTGTGCGTGAAGCAGTTTTATAATTTCTATAGAAATTTTTATCAGAATGTTATTGAAATTCCTTTATTGTAAATTTAACTTATAATGTATTTTTGTTATAATATTAGAGTATAATAATAGTAATCTACAATCTTTGCCATAGTGCATTTTTTGTATTGAGCATAAAATATATTATTTTACGAAGTTTTTACAATAATGGTAGTCCTCATAAAAGTGTTTAAAGCACAATGCTTTTTTGCACTAAACACATCGTACAATTGCAATGTTTGTGCACCCTTCTATTTCACAATGTGTTGCACAAGACTTTCCAAAATTGAAATCTATAGGATTATCAAATTTATCTGGTTTTTCATTGACGTAACCGCTTTTATACCAGGAATATTTAAACAAATCTATATATCTCGGTGAAGACAGTTGGTTGTGAACCAATGATTACAGTTTAATTATATTATTTCTCACGTGTAAATTCATATCGTGATCCATTAACATTACATTATCAGAAAATGTTCGGACAAAGTTTTTCCAAATACTACGGAATCCATAGACATCAAGTGGTTGTATTTTTCCTGTGGTTCCAGTTGGAATTTTTTTTATGTTAATAATTTTATTTTGTGGCATCGTTTCTTCTATAACTTTGTCACAATGACCACTCCAAGAATCAAGTAATAATATTAAGTGATGGCCTACATGGGGATAAAATGTTTTTTCCAACCAGGTTTTCAAGTGATCTGCAATTAAACGACTTACTAATTAACTGATCAACGATATTACAATGTAAAAATTGTTATTAGTTCCCCTACTTGTTGTTAATTTTCCAGATTTGGATGCTTCCACGTACACGTTTTCTAGTCTAAATATGTGTTGTTCTACAAAAGGGCCAAACTTGCCACTTGGTTCCTTTAGAACTAGAAATAGCGGCGATAACAGTTGTCCAGTAGCTGATATTAATGGTTGTATAGTGGTTGTAACTATACAACGTATGCGTTGTTGCTGAAATTGACTGTATCAGACATTGCACTTGCTTTTCTCCTTCTACTGCTAATGTTTTTCCAGAATGCATTTCTAGCTGAAATCCGCTCTGATCTAAATTATACAAATTTTCGAGTACAATCCTTGGTATACACGATTTAACGTCATCGATAAATGCTTCAGCTTTAGCCATAAGTTCTGCACTACTTTCTAGCGTTTTTCTTGTTATGAACTTATTTATTTTCCTAGAAACTATTCTGTGTGCTCGCTGAAATTTGAATAACCAATGTTTAGAAGCATTGAATCTAATATCATCAAAACCAATTTCTTTTTTAGTTTGTAAGGCCCATCGAATTATATCTTCATCATGGATAATTGAACCACTGTCGACAGCTACTTTAAAATTATCCAGGGTATACCGACCGACAAATTTGTGTTACTGTATACGTCTCACCTTTATTAATTGAATGTGCCCAACGACGTAGCTGACTAATACATGATACTTTTTGAATCTGTTTTGCACTGTTTTGAGACTTAAATTTTGTTTCGTTTTGCTACTTCTCCAAAAATCTATAGCTCTTTTTTGTATTCAAAATCTAGTTCTTCATTATCTGCTGTATATTGATTTGTTGGTGCTATATCCGGATCAGGAAAATGATGTTGCACTTCATCTTCAATTATTTCCGCATTATGGTCTTTATACTTTTCTTGAAAATCCAAAGAGTTATCAGTAATCATTTCTACATCGTTGAAATCATGTGTTGCATCTAATAAAATTTCTTTTATTTTTTCGGCCTTTAATAATTCGTGACACTATCTGGTATGTTGAACGCTTGAAAGTATGTTAATAATAAGTTTAGAACGTTTATTGGATTAATTTTCATTTTTCAATCTGAAATAAAAACAAGCGGTAAAATTTATACAAGCTGTGTTTTTGCATGTAAGGCACGACTGCTACATTTCTACCAGAATAAAACGAGTGAATGTAAATTGAATCAAATCTTTAATTTATGCATTGGAGAAGAATTCTTGTTCCACTTTGTGATGTTCGGGAAACTCTATTTTTGGTTCACTTTATAGACGCCGAAAATGGTAGTTTTTATTCACATGTTAT